GAATGCCTGTTGAGGGTCTCCATCTATGGACATGTACAACAAAAGGGTTAGGGTTAGGGTTAGGGTTAGGGTTAGGGTTAGGGTTCTCTGTGGGGGCTCCTCTCCTCTGAAACAGATTGCTCCCAGGGCAAGTGTGGCCCCATTCTCATGGCCTGCTGGAAAACTTGTTAAAACCTGGCTTTTCCAGAAGTCCTGGAGAGGTTGGATAACGGAGAATCATTGGTACCAGATAGATGAATGTGATGGGGCTTCATGGATCAAGTTTTATTCTTAATGTATTCTATTGCTCATTTACATTGTATTTTTGTTGCTCTTATTATATGTATATATATTATATTATATGTAAATATACATATTTAGGACTGAAGACTATTCTATAAACAATTAAGCAAACAAACAAATAAATGATCTACTCTATTTTGTATAAGACAGGCCCCACCTTAAATACTGTTCTAGGCACTATATTTAAAAAAAACAAACAAACCAGAGAAATAGAACAGGTGAAAAGAAGGGCAATAAAGATAATCAAGGAACTGGAAATTAAGTATTATGAGTAAGGTCTAAAAGAACTAGCATGTTCACCCTTGATGAACAATAACAGAAGGAATATAACAGAAATTTTCAAATACTTAAAGGGTATCCCATAGAAGATCACAACCTTCCTTGAAAAACAGATTGCAAAGAAGCAGATTTTAATGATACCAGGAAGAATATCCGAATGATAAGAGCTGTTCAGGTATGAAACCACCCAGTTGAATAGCTGTTCAACTATTAGGAAGAAGTGGAGTCTCCTTCACTGGAAGTATTAGCAGATGCTAAATGGTCATATGTCAGGGATTATCTAGGGGTTGGATTGGATGGTCTCCAAGATCCCTTCCAATTATGATTTTAAAACCTGTTTTTTACTGATTCAAAGTGCAGGGCACAGAATAGTTACATTAAATTTAAGAGAAGGCAGATTCCAGTTGAATGTTAGGAAAAGCTTTTTAACAGTAAGAGCCATTTGGCAATCAAAATAATTACCTTAGGGAGCAATGAATTCCTTTTAACTGATATATTCAAGCAGAAGTTAGTTGGTCTACTACTGGGTTGCTTTAGTCTGAATTTCTGCACTGAGTGTTGGATTTCATAGTCCAAATGGCCCATTCTAACTCCATAATTCTAGGATTTCTACCTGGGAGAAATGTGCAGTCCCCTTTCAGATGTTAGAGTAATATAACAAGCAAATATGTAGATCTCATATTTGTTTGTTATATTTGTTTTTTATAGTTTTTACTGTCTTTAAATAATTAATAATAAGGGTTTTAGGTATTTATTAATTGTTTTAGCTTGCACGCTGCCCAGAGTTGCTTGTTTTGTGAGATGGGCAGCTATATAAATTGGACAAATAAATAAATAAATACTCTTCACACATATCAGAGTCACCTTTCTATAGACACACTCTTCATAATAATGGGAAATACAGTTCTGGTTATTGTGATCCATCATCACGCATGGTAACAGGTGATTGTGCAATCATTACATGTTACAGATGCTGATTCCCTTGGGAGAGGCAGAAAAGAAGAACTTAATTTGTTGATCAAAGGGCAGCGATGGTTAATTTTTTTTACAAAGTCTTGTTGATAAAGGATCCTGCAACCTTATGATTCCATTCACAGATAACATCACCCCAAGGACAAGCTTGACATGATTGGGAAATGCAAAAATTTTGTGAAAGCACCTGTGTCTCCAAGTACCCACTCCTTATGTATACTGTTGAAAAAGCAGACTGGAGCTTGAGTTGCACACATCAGAAAATCACTCACGGCTAAATTCATGATGAAATAATTTGGAGGTGTCCTCAGTCTCTTGTTGCTTCACCATGATCATCATCATCAGTCATGTAAAGGAGAAGAAAGTGCTTTGTTAGTTTCTGCTGTAGGTATAAACTACCATTCACCAAATATCTAGTAGAACAAAACTACAGATAGGCCTTTCAAAATGAAAACTGAAAAGAAGAAAACAATAAGAGAGCAATTTGTTTTTTGTTTACAAGTAATGGCATAGTAGGGTTAAGATGTTTGGGCTGAGATATGTCTTCCAGTATCTTGTAGTAGTTGAGAAATCTTTCTGAATTATGTCCTTTCTATAAGATAGGTCTGAAAATAGCTTCTACACTGGGGTAGCTGAGAATCATTTTTAAGCAATCAGATAAGAATGTTTAAAATCAAAATTAGAAAATTGTTTCTAGTGTACCTTTGCCTGACTAAGGCGTGTTGTAAGTCCTGAGACAAAACAATTCAGGTGATGACACAATACGCTACTCTTCTGTACCTACAAAACTGGAAAAATTACTTGGCAAAAGTAAAATTGATCACTCAAACAGTAGCAGAAATAAGTTTGAAATCTAGTATTGCTTCATTGGCTCACTAGGCAAAACCTATTCCTATTTAGTGTGGCCAAAAGACATTATGATTTGGCTGCAGTCATTGCTGGCCACATTGATGAGAAGTTTATCAGAGAATCAGAGCACTCTGTACCTGCAGAAAATAATTCATGCAGCAAATTAGAAGTCAGAACCTGCATGTCCCTCAGTTACAACAAATTCTGCAACTCTCACAGTCAAGTTATTTTTCTTCTTCTTTAGATACTTAAGTACATCCCAACCTTATCATGATTCTTTTTAAATTCAAACCAGGATTCAAACCCATCTTGAGTTCTGTGGTGCTTTGCTGTAGAGTGAATGGAAGAAAGGAGAAAATATTTCTCTGCTGGGTTTCAGGCCACCATAACTACATTTTTGGTTAATTCGTTTCCATAATAAATATGTAAGTGACATACCATAATTGGAAGCATGCATCATTCAAAGCAAAACTAAAACATCACACAAATTAAATATAATTACAAGTTTCTCACTTCCAGATTAGTAAAATTTTAAAAAAAAAAAATCAAGAATAGCATTCAGTCACAAGGCAGAGTTTCCCCCCACTTTATGTCTTCAATTTATTTTTTCCTAAGTTTGTGGGTGTGTGTGTGTATAAATAGATATATATACACATTTCTACACACACACACACACACTTCTTCCATGTTCATGTAGGTTAACAGGTGCAAAACATGAGCAAAACAAAAATAGCAAATGCAGTAGATGTGTATGTCAGCCAAGTTCTAGGCATGCAAACTCATTCAACTACTAACAACCTTGTTTTTTCCGATTTCATTTCTATATGAAATAGCTGGAAACATATATTAGTAATCATTTGAAACCTACAGATTCCAATTTTTTTAATGCAGTTTGTTAAAGCATGCATAGTATGGAAACGTTTGTACATTATTGCAGTGTCTGTTAAAAATGGATTCATTTAGAAAATGTATAATATTAGGAACTGTTTACAAAAAAATGTGCGTATTAGGCGAAATGGCAGACAAAACTGAATATGATTTGAGATAGACAGTATAAAACTACATGTAATATTTGTAGAACCTTTTTTTAAAAAAACCAAGTTCCATGAACTAAACTTGAAAGACCTGCAAAAAGAAGACACTGAGAAAAAAAAGGAAATGGACATCCACCAGCCACCATGAGGAATGAAATGAGGAAATCCACTGCTCTTAATCAGGAAGTTTTGTCCGTACAGGTAAGGGTAAAAAACAGATCTGCCCATCTTAATCTCACCTAGTCTGCTGTAATATGAGAGCAGTATAAAAAAAGAGAACAGGAGAACTGTTGGCTGAACATCCCCCAAATTGTGGATTTCCCCCTCTTCCTTCATTCCTATCCCCAGCTTGAAGAAACTATACCTGTAAAATGCATAGAGAACAAGGAGATTCCCTATAATTCCAATACAACCAATGACCAGAACACAAGAGCCTACAGCGTAAAGAACGTAATCAGGGGCATCCACTTTTGTTGGGTGAGCAGTTGCCATAGTCTGGGTCTGGAAGTAAAACAGCAAAAGAACAAAGCATTACTACAATTAACACCGTGTTGCTGAAGAAAATGGTTCAGGCATTTAATTCAATATTGTATCCTGCAACTGTGTACAGTATTGGAACCAAACCCATAATTAAAGAATGAACTATACAACACAGGGTTCCTCAACCTTCCTCATGGCTGGCTGGGGAATTCTGGGAGTTGAAGTCCACCCATCTTAAAGTTTCTGAGGTTGAGGAACCCTGATACAACATATATACAAGATGAATAGAAGAGTTGATGCATTCCAATAGAAGGCTCTGAGTCAACCAATGCTTTATTTGCATGATCAAGTCCTGTGATATTTAATTAGTCAGGCCTACTAGCAATTTCAGGTACAATGTCATTTTCACTATGACAGAAGTGAGATTCTGGATGATTTTTCTCAACACTATAGATACTGAATATATACTGTACAATAGTACAGTATATAATACTGTATAGGTACAGTAGTACTTCCGGACTATTGAATGCTGAAGGAAGCTTTCACTGCTCCAATCAGGTCTTCACACAAGTAATTCATTAGTGTAATCAGTGTGGTTTCCATCCCATGTTCTGGCCTGAACTCAGGGTGAAACCAACTAGGAAGGGCACAGATCTAATATAGAGGTCACTGCACCCACAGCTCCAAAGACCCTGTACACTTTCTTGGGAGGCTCAAACTCATCCCACATAACATTGCAAGACTGTGCCCTAGTCACCTCCATAGGACTATGTAACAGGGCTGAGGACTTCATGTGGTCAGCATGTGAACTTTCCAAAAGCTGAACAGGTGTGGGGAAAACACAGACAAAAGAAAGATCAGATCTGAAAATGGTCCAAACCCAGCCAGTGGTTATACAGAAAAACATTCCAGATCCCCCCCCCCCCCCCCCCCCCCCGCCGCCCCAATGCATCCTTGTGGGAGAGGCAAATTGGCAGAGCTGGAAATGTTGCTGAATGCTTCATTCCAAGCCACTTGATGTGACCCAGAATGGTGGCTCTGCAGCCTGCCCCATGCTTCCCAATGTACATATAACCAGAAGCACACACAGATGGAACATGAAATACACCCACGTTACACAGAAAACGCAGAAGCCATACTCTGCATACTTTCCCTACCTTATTTAAATTAAAATGTGAGATATGACTTTACTTTCTACAAACAATTTTGAACATTATATTTGCAGCCTACTGCGTGGTGGAATCTATGGATCCTCCCTTTTAGAAGAACTGAAAACAGGGGTAAGAAAGAGTATGGGATACACAGGTTTGAAACATGGAATTAGTGTTATTGAACCACTGTTCTATCAATGAAGAGCTGCATTAATGGATGCAAACCTTTTATGTCAGAGGATGGAAAAGCTCTATTAAAAATGTTTGTTTGTTATTGTTTTGTTAAGCAGCTCTGTTGGCAATTACAGCAGTCAAAACATTTCAGTACAGTGACCAGCCTCAGAACTTAAGGTCCACAGACTGATTATACTCTGGTTAAATAACAGAAGTGAATTTGAGGGCAGAATTATATATGTTGCTTTTCTGCAATTCCTTGGCCCACAAAAAGCAATTTCAGGTTGGGTGTGTACATATGTGGGGGAAGAAGAAGAGCTTCATAATCAGTGTAGGAAAGGAATTGACAGAGAATAGCTGCTTACATGCTCCATGTGCCTTGAAGCCACTGTTATTTTTTACCAAGATGTTGAAATCTACTTTTTAGGGGGGGGAAAATATCAAGGAGAAAAGCTGCTAATAGAAATGTTGAAGGGACAAGAAGCTGGGGAGGAAAAGGAACTGCGCTGCAGGAATTCTCTCACTGTCTCATCTTCTGTCCCTTCTGGGATCCATTCATGGAACTACACAATTTATTACTTTCCCTTTTTAACACTTCTAACAGAGTGTAAAAATTGGCAGAACTAAATCTTCACAACAACTGGTTCTTCCTCATACTGGTAAAAACTGAGTATGAACTAACTAACTAAACTAACCAACATGAACCATGATAGCCAAGTAATAACTGAGACTAGCTAGAAGAGAGATATTTAGGAATCATTATTATTTATTTATTTAATTATCAAAAGTATTTCTATATTGCTTCTTTTTGTAGAAAATCCCAAAGCATTTAATAAAGTATGACTTTACTGTGAAATAAAAATAAAAATAATAAATGTGAGCTAAAAACAGAGTTCAGCCAAAGTGAAAATCTTCTGTTAAATAAATATATCAAGAAGAATTAGTGGGTGGTGAAGGCCAACCTTGGCTGATCTTGGAAAGCTAAGCAGGTTGAAACTGGACAATACTGGGGTAGGATACCACAGGAAAATATTAGGGCTGTAGATTAGCATCCCAGAAGAGGACAGTGTCAAGCCACTTCCATACTGTTGCCAAGAAAATAACACAGCTGTGATGTGAGCATGATTTGAGAGGATCGTTATCTCCTTAATCAATGCTGGAGCATGGTATAGTGCCCAGGTACAACCATTCCCAAGCGCAGGAGCCCCTATAAGAACTGCCTCTGTGCCAGAAATTTATAGTCCACAGCACACAGATCAGGAACTCTACCAAAATTCAAAGATGCCTATTGAAATTGTTCCAGTTAAAAATAATATTTGTATTTTGGCCAAGAACACAAACCAATGGATCATCAAACAAATGAACCCAGTTCTCACTCAGGGCACAAATGATTCTTTGGACACATTATGTGAAACCCTAGCTGAGTAGAGAAGGCTATAATGCCATGAAAGGTGGTAGGAAAGAAAAACAGGGCAACCAGAAGAAGTTGGATGAACTCAGTCCACGCGGTGATGGGTGCAGTATTGGAAGACTGAAATACCATGTTGGGAACAGATCTTCCTGGAGAAAGTCCGTCTGTCTGTCTATCCATCTATCTATCCCTCCATTCAACCATCCATCTATCCATCCATCCATCCATCTATCCAAATAGTTGCCACCAACTTGATGATACACAATCAATCAACCAACCAATCAAAAAATTGATATTTTTACTGTCTGTAAAGATTGGTAAATAGCTACACTACATTTTATAATAACATTTTATTGTAGAACTGTGGGATGAACACCTACAGAACAGGCTTGGAATCTAATGACATTCTGAGGCAACATTTGTACATTTGTAAGCATGTACAGAGAGAAAAATATTCTTTCTCAACTTGAAATAATAGTAAAGCATTTCAGAAGAGCCAGAATTCAGAAAAGGGATATAAAGCTACCCAAGAACAAGAGGTTGGAAAATACAGCTTAATATCTTAAAATGTCTTAAAATACAAAACAAAACAAAATCCCAAGTAAGAAATCTGTACTGTTTGTTGTAACCAGTTTGCTTAAAATGTATTACATCATCAGTAGATCATCTGTCACTGTAGAGTTCAAACGTCATTTGCCCACTAAAGACTATAATAATATATTCAAAGTCTTATATAAGCTACAAAAGCCAATTCATCTTTTTTCATGGAAAAACTAGAAATCCATTAAATGATAACTTGAATGTGGATTAGCATCTCAAAACTGGATAGATTTTGTTGTGATTAGATTAAGACACTGTTACAGTTTTATTGTTGAATTGGTGTATGTAATGTTTCTAGTTTTTAGGTTAAGCACCTAGAGCTTAGGAAAGGTGTGGCAAGAAAAAAGTTTATGGAAGTTAGAGATTTTCAGTTCCCTGTGTATGCATTGAGAACAGAAACGAACAGACAAACATGAGCCGCAATCCCTGATTTGGTACAGATAACGTATAACTTAGACAGCATATTAAAAAGCAGAGACATCACCTTGCCGACAAAGATCCGCATAATCAAAGC